GAACAGACTAGACGAAGCTATGCAGGAGCATATGTTCAGTCTTAAAATGCCTAGCAAATTACGGACCAGCTGGGCCGTATTATCAAAACTTCGTAATTACGCAAAATCGACTTACGAGTGGCGTTGCTATGACAACGTAATACTAGCGGTGGTATTATAAAAACATTTGCGCGGGGAAAAAATTTAGGCTTCTAGCTAAGACTTGCGTACGAAAGTTTTGATAATGCCAAAATTAGGGTGTATTTACGTACCACAAAACTTTTTTGTCGTACGTACAAAAAGTTACGAAGTTTTGATAATCCGGCCCCAGGCAATAAGTTCAGCAGCTATCTCAATCAATCGTCAGTTATGGAAAGATCGGGTTCCAAAGGCTGGATCCCTTGTGAATCAAGTCACAAAAAATTCAAGAATCGGCAACAGGCCATGGGCCTATTTCTTCAGTGCCGACACTTCTATTCTATTATATCCTAGTCAAGTCTTGCTCTACGCAGCATCAATCTGGAACTCTCTCGACTATCTCACCGCCGTTGGGGAGTAGTTTTTGTATCCGGAGTATTTTGTATGCGCTTTGAGTATTGTCACATGATGCCTCAAGATGAACTGCGTTGAAACTTGCCTACTATACCGGGGTGCCCACCAGATTTCTGGGTTATCACAGAGAGGAATCGGCCTTTTAGTACAGACCAACCGGTGAACAACAGGAAACTGTTGTTTCCAAATTTACTTGCTACTAAATATTCACGTGTAGGATTTTTTAGATGTATTATCCGCTGGATCATTCGTCATTCGTATCGTCCACAAAAATGCCATACACACGACAGTTCAACTTGTATGCTGCTGGACGTGACGTAATTAGTCAAGATCAGCACGGTGCTGCGCCATATCTTAACCAAGTTAGTCAAGATCAGCAGTCGCTTACTCGCTTTAGTATGGTTAGGCAGTTGTTAGCTGCCCGTGATCCTGAACATTTGGCTGAGTGCAACGGAGGCAGACTAGCCAGTATTTGATGGCAGTAAATTTTTTTACAGTCTCCGTTTGCTACCTTTTTTATGTCGTGCTAACTACAGCCGGGGTCTTCTGCTGTCGCCTCGCTATATGAATAATTTGTGTCTCCTCCCGTTTTATGTACTTTAATGCCATGTAATACAGACGGCGTACGCGTAGGTCTGGTGTTTTGTGCTTATAAAGAAGTGATTATAACCAGAATCTAAAAATATAATCTAAAGTGATTATAACCAGAATCTGAGCATTATAAATTATTTTACGATTTGAAATTACGATTTGAACAAGATTGAGTTAAAATAAACTTCGATGTGTGCTTCTATATGAATGTAATCCATTTCCGCTGAACCGGCATTCTACTGACTGATGAGGAGAGTCATAGACGGCATTGAAGGTTAAATATATTAGCACAGTTGCTTGGAATTGATTGATCTATTGTCTGGGCTTTGAGCTGCGAGAGTCCGACTCTGCCATGAGAGAATTCGTGTTGTTTGTAAGCTAATGGAATCTGTTGTGAGGGATAGGATTATCGATCACTTGACTGTTCACTATCTCCTATCAGATTGTCCACATGGTTTTATTGCCGGTAGATCCTGCACCACTAACTTATTATCTACGTTGAACGATTGTTTATGTTATAATGAACTCAAGTCATGAGTGCAACCTCTGACAAATACCGCGCTAGGCATTCGTTTCCACAAGCCAATCGTTGATTTCGACTTTTTGACTGGCAACATCAGAGAAGGTTGAATTCTCATTGTGACGCTCAGCCAAAGGTCGGACTTTTTCAGTATTGAACGCCGATGACTGCATGGCATGAATTTCGGGTTCCGTGTCATTTCTAAATGTCAATTTCTGATTCAATATTACTTACTAACAATATTTTTGTCGTTTGACTTTGAGGGAGGATAATTTTGCATTTGGGTACAAAGAATGTCTTATAACGTTCACATTTGTGCCCCGTGTACGAATCAAATTACAGAAGTAAGTAGGGAGGCTTTCTATTGACGATCAGAAGATCCAATGTATTCGATGTTCTGTTCAGGATGAGAACTGGACGTTTGTAATTAAACTATACTTTTACAGCAGGCTAGCAATGGGTGCTTTACTTATTCCAAGACTGACACTTGATAGTGTTGTTAAGCACGATGGTACTGACCATGCAGTCTCACTTGAAACGTTCCAATTAATTTTGTAGAGTTTCTTTCAGTTCATCAAATTTCTCACGGCATCAATGGGAGACTGCAGTAGTGCCGGTGCCGCTTACCGTGGTGGCGAGGTCGGCGATGTGGGTGACGGTGGTGGCGATGGCGGCTGTGGCGTTAAATTCAGTGGTGTCGATAATGGTGGCGCTTCTTCAAACAATCCTATTATTGTGCAACCTCCCAACGCCGCGTGGAATGAGGCACATTCTTCTGGTCGCAACCAGAACTCTCAAAATAAAGTAATTGTTTGTACCTGCAGTCTTTGGCATATTGTCGTAATGGAGCTAAGGTGTGTACTTGGAGTTTTGAACCGGACTTAAATACAAATAAATCTCCAACGGTTCTTTACAAAAACACTAGCAACACAAACAGAACAGCATCTGTCAGAATAGGCACATGTCCTCACTAGCAGCTACACACAGGCGAACCCCAAGGAGCTTGTCTTTCCCCCAATTATACTGCTTCTAAATCCACGACCTCCAACCACTCCCTAGCATAGATTAAATAACATTTGCAGATGATATAACACAAATTACCGCAGGACATTACCCATGTAAATAACAACAGCATAACAAACATAACTCGCTCTTAAACAGCACTACTCGCTTCTTAAACAGCATAACTCGCTTAACAACCAGCACTACCCTTGCACAGAACCACGGGCTGCATTCGAAATTGTGCACCCACAGTTTTACATCCGCAGATCTCGCAGGCATGTAACAGCAGGTATATTGAACTTAGTAGTGAACATATCAATTCGGTTCCGTCGTTATAATTTATTAACTTCACAGTGTCACACATGCGTGAACATTTCTATTGCGCGTAATAATGTTTTTTGATAATTTCTGAATTCCAGCTAATCCGGCGATATATTATTACCGACTGTCAAATAAATGAGTCACTGTGACTCGCTTCTGTATACAGGGAAACTGGAGTGGGACAAAAATGGGGAACGGTGCAAAAGTGATTCACTCGTTCGATTGAACAATGTGGCTCAAACATTGAGAATGAATTGAACTTGAGTTGCCCTGACGTAACCCAAACGTTTCTAACCCAATCTTAACGTCCTAACCTTAACCTCACTAGTTTGGCGTTGATTAGCAATCGTAAACCAAAGCTGAACCACCGGGACTAGTATTTGAAAGAGTATTGGTTGAAAGAAGAATGTCTCGCTTTGAAGACTTTGCGACCACCTATGTTTATGGAAGATTCCTTCAATTTTAAAAATTTATAGCGTTTTTCTCCTAAAAAGGAAGAAACTTTAATTAGAAGCAGTTCCTAGAAATGTTCCTGACTCAAAATTTGTCATTTGATGACTTTATTCTCATCGCGAGATGATGTTTACCAAGAAACGAATCAAATACATAGATTTGAAAGCAACAAAATGACCTCTTAACTAGCTCAAATAAGAAAAATTGTATAAAAATAAGAAGGTGATAACGACAGTTATCACCTTCTCATAAGGAAACAATTCTCCAATTGAAAGTTCTTTCAAGTTTAAATATCTGCCATGTTGGCTATATACATTTTTACAGGCATGAATTACTTACATGTGTTAGGTGTAATAAATTAGTCTCCAAATAATGAAATAGCGGATAACCCGACAACAATTACTGTATTGCTGGAATGCGGACCGGCTGTTAACTCTAAACTTCCATTCTCCTCGAAAGTCTCGCCTACCGATCCATCAGTTATGATCTCAACCATCGGCTTGCTGTTTATTTTAATAAAAAATAGACGAAAGTACATAATTTGAACTTCTTTGGATTTTGTGAAAAGCTTACATGACGAAGAATCAACCGATAGTGTTATATAAAGTCAGGTTCCAATGTTAATATTATTCGCTTATATTCACATTTCAGATGGTTTTCGGGATGTGCCGAAAGAGGACGTGTTGCTTGGGCATCGGACTCTTCTTCATGTTCGCAACCACGGTTACCTGCATAACCATCAAATTCATCAACTCCTACTACTAAACTAAGAACTTAAACACTATATAGGTTAAGTTTATTGAAAGCAACACTATATAAATCAAGATCAACGTTGTAACCTTGTATACAACTCTGCCAATATTTCACTAAACCTATATAAGGACTAAGGTTGTATCTCTCCCTATCTTGTTAGCATTTGCCTACGTGGGTCTGAGATATACTTAAAGCTTATTAAAGTGTTTATTGTCATGTGAACAGATAAAAGATCGAAGGAAATAGATTCGTTATGTCAAAAACTTACTACTTAGAATTGATAGAAAGTATCGTTAGCGACAAATAAATTTCACAGCAACAAAAATGAGCGCAATTTGCTATATTTTTTGCACGCAAAACCATTACAAGAATAACGATACCCGGATTCCACTTATACATGTCTGCCGATTTTATCATTTACAACGACATTGTATAGGATATCAAAAAATCAAAAGTCAGGAAATGCAATGACTTGCAATAAAAATTAAGCGGCAATCTTCAAATAATAGAATAAATATAACAATATATTATGGTTGTGAGCTGTATCTCAGATTAAATTATTCAAAACATGATTACTTACCATGCCTTTAATGCTGCAATGTTTTATATGCCAATTGTTAGCCCTTCCCCAGGCGGTCAGCCTGTATGTTGGACGGGGTTAAACCTGAAACAGCTTGTTCAACAAATCGAGAAATAAATTTTACTTCCGTCGCATTTTGCTAGCCCCCTTCAGCACAATATTATTGAAATTCTTTTCATTCTTTAATAGTGATCAGTTAACAAGCGCTGTAGGGTTTCATTATTTACGCACTACAGGTCATAAATAGAAGTTCTACTGCAATTGATGTTCCATTGAAAACTGAATGCGTGACGTAAGTGCTCAAAAGAGATGAGGCTTTGCAGTAGGTCCGTTGGTCACTCGCTACTATAGGCTTGGCCTAATCTCAAGGCGAAGCAAACGATGAATGTCAGTGCTTCTTATTGGAATTTCTAAATCTGCATTACAAGGTGTAATTCAATCTTGTAGGTGGAGACATCCAGAAACTGTAAAATTGTACTATGGATAAAAATCTTAAAGGTCTCAGAGGGAAGCAGGCCTGAAGAGGGCTTGTCAGCATATTTGGTTAAGTCAGCGCGATCATGACTGAGGCATACGGCCTTCGTGCCCACATTGGCTATGCTTACAATGGCAAGGATTGACTCCATCGATCACACAGTTCACGCACTAATAGCTGTACGCCATGCTGTTCTATGCACTTTTAGGCGAATCTGATTTAATTATTAACTACCTGAGGTAAGTTCGGGTACCGTGAACAGATGAGGCACTAGCTAAGTACAGATTAGATACTTATTCTTATTCAGCATATATCAGCTTACAGTTTATAGTTTTAGAGTGCTAATGGAGTAGAACGTTAACGCGTTCATCTGGGGTTCGTACTCACGTCTTCCGGGTTTAACCAAGCTTATAAAGATGTCATCAAGGTGATGAGCCTCCCAGGGAAATTAAGGAAGGCTAATACAAGGATATGTTTATCAACATCGGGATGGAGGAATTAACTATCATCTAACCAGGAAGAAATTATTTCAATGCGGAATGAGTGTAATTGGATGCAGAAATAACAGTTACCATTTTTCCTTCCACCTTACACTAGCGGGATACCAATACCCTTACAGGTAATGAATACTATAAACACTGTTTACAATGCAATAATTAGTTGATTATTACTGAATGTTACTAAGCTCTTGATTTCGGTGATAATTTCAATTATTCTTTATTCTATAGAGACGAAAATTGCACAAATGTTAAGTCACTCGCCGACTGTGTCTTGGTCGTAAAATGTATTTAAGCCATTAAAAGATCACACTATAAATTTTTGCACCACTGTTTACACTATGAATTATATAGTATCAGTACAACGACAGCCAATATCAGGAGTGACTGGTGCATAAACAAATTCAGCGAGTACTTGCATCATTTGTTCGCCTCACAAAGAATTTAAAAGCAAAGAAAACGCCAAATAAATTAACTAAATCTTCATCGAAAACGTTTCGAAAACGAGCTCCATCATTAGATAAAAAATTTAGAGAATATATGCACGATTAATTCCAGAGGAGCCAAATTAACATGGAAGAAAATTAATTGACATGAATTAAAACCTACGTTCCAGAAAAAACATACTACGGGACAAAAAAACAGCACGAGTGCCAATTTTAAATGTATGAGACCTGCGAGCCTTTTTGGGATATGTTTTCTGTAAAAAAAATCGGCACAAATTGCACAATCCTTCAATTCGAAGCAAAACAGTTGGAATCAGTTAGCTTAAAATCGCTCTCGCACGCAGTCTGTGTTGCATATATCGTTCAGCTTATCGTTCAGCGCAGTCTGTGTTGCATATATCGTTCAGCGCAGTCTGTCTTGCATATATCGTTCAGCGCAGTCTGTGTTGCATATATCGTTCAGCACAGTCTGTGTTGCATATATCGTTCAGCGCAGTCTGTCTTGCATATATCGTTCAGCGCAGTCTGTCTTGCATATATCGTTCAGCACAGTCTGTGTTGCATATATCGTTCAGCACAGTCTGTGTTGCATATATCGTTCAGCACAGTCTGTGTTGCATATATCGTTCAGCGCAGTCTGTGTTGCATATATCGTTCAGCACAGTTTGTGTTGCATATTGTTTATTTATTATATTAGCGTGAAGGCACACTGCAGAGTGGGGCGGATGAGCAAGCAGAAGATCAAAAAGAAAACTCCCGCCGGTGTTCGGCAACCCTGATATTAAAGTAACGCTAAGTCATTCTTAGGAGCACAGACTGTATTCGTAAATCAGGAAAAACCGCATCCTGGTAAGAATTATAACCTTATAAATGAAGACTGAAACAAGTATAATATTATTCTCCAGTGACACATTTAAGTTGAAACTTGAAAATTAGTTCACGTACAAGATCATCAACTCTGGATATTGCTTCAGACCAGCTACTAAAGTGGGGCACAGTACAGCAATTTTTTCCTAACATCAACCTCGAAAAAAGATTTAGAATATCATGTAGCCAGGAACTTTTTTCACTAGACACTATAGGTTTGATGGCACTCCATTCAGATAAAATTTTAGGAATTTATTCAAATTCATATTCATATTTTATATAGTGAAAGGCCGAACAAATTCCGTAGCCTCGGTATTTTAAAGATTGAAGACTATACTCAATTTGAAACAAAACGAACAAAATCAATAAAGAAGCTTGCCCCAAGACGATTTCCGATACACGGAAGTCAGACAGCAGCCGTGATATATCAAATCATTACTCAAAAAATACTAATTTCTCGTCAATAATAAGTTAAAATTCTATCAAACAATGATCGATATTTCATTGGGTACTGACAATCTGACACAATCGAAATTTGTAATAGATGAGACCACTTAATGCGCCGCGACGTTTGAAGAAGCGCGTCGTCTCCATCGCCCTGACCACCCATCGTCGTCAACTTGGCCTGCCGCTCGATAAGACCACAGAAAGTATTGAGGATTAGACTTAAATATTTTTAATGAATACTGATATAGATACGTGTACATAGTAATGTTTTAAGTTTCCATGATTGGTTTACCCTGTAACTTCTTTTATAAATTGAAAGTTAGCTATTTTTTGTAGTCAAATCATTTACTGCTTTCATTTCGAAATAATAGATTTTAGTTCTACGTTGTTCGCTTTCCTTTCCACGAGCTTCGTGGAGAGTGCGCGGTGATGCTCGATGATGGTGCGTTGATGCTGCTGTCTGCGCGGGATGACGCAGATTCTTCTCGTGATGTAGTTAATTTATTTATTTGCTCTTCGGTCGACGTCTTTTGTCGATATACGTCGCGCTCTGAAGACTGAATATGAGCCATTAGTTGATTGCCAGCGTCACTGTTGTCGTTGTTTTCTTTCCGTTTGAGCAGCGTGTTTGTAATGGCGCGTTTTGAAAATACGAGGCTTGCTGCGAGACCAAATACGACCTCGTATACGAGCTCACGACCAGGACGGTTTTCTAATGCTTCATTAAAACACTGACGATCAAAGAATGTTTCCACGACTTTCATAGTAGACTCTTGAAGAAGTGTGATATTGTTAACCGAGTTTAGTTTGCTTGATTTTGCTGATTTTGTCACTTCAAAAGGTTCGCGAGCTGCGTCGATGAAGGAGATCGTTGTAGCGTTGCCGTAAGCAACGAAGAGTTCTTTCTTCACTCGTTCGTAGCTGCAGTGTAGGAAGGCTGGTCGTAGATAACGTGATAGCATGCGCGTGCATCACCTAGTTTCTTATTGGTATGCGAAGCAATTTGCTGTATACGGCCGCGGTCATCGTGAGGCCGGTGGAGGTGAAATGAATTACCATTTGCACCAACCATTGACGTACGTCTGTTTCTGGGGTATTTGGTATCCAGGGAGGCTCGCCATCCAGAATATTCCCTCTGAACAATGGTAGATTTTCAGGGGAGGGTACGTATGTGACGTTTGGCCTTACCGGTGTGTTTAACTGTGATGAAGCACCAGTCGCACTCGTAGTGTCTGCTGTAGCCGCTGATGGTGTATATGCTCGTGAAGGCGCTGCTGTAGTCAGGGGTACTTAATTGCTGAGTATCCATCTTGTCCTCTTTGTTTTTTACTGGCACGCTTTCTGATTTAGGGTATCGCACTGGTTCCCGTTTAGATCTCACTGGCATCGATTTTTTGTCTTTATCACTTTCAGAATCACTCATTATTCACTTATGGCACTATGTTTCGGGCGCCAAATGTACGGTGTTGTCGTGTTGAGGGCTCCTATGTACGCCGTGCTTTTCTATGCACGTTTTAGGCGTATCTGATTTATTATTAACTACCTGAGGTAGGTTCGGGTACCGAGAACAAATGAGGATAAATGAGGCACGAGTTAAGTACAGATTAGATACTTATACTTAGTGAGAATATATCGGCGTACAGATTATAGGTTTAGCGAGCGGAACGTTAACGCGTTCGTCTTGGGTTCATACTAACTTCTTCCGGGATTAAGTTAGTTAATTTTAGAACTAACATCTTAAATAGATATCGTCAAGGTGATGAGTCCCTGCCGGGTAAAACAAGGAAGGCTGATACAGGGATATGTTTATAAACATTGTGATGGAGGAACTACCTTCTAACCAGGAAGAAATCATGAGTAATTGAATACAAAATGACAGTTGATAATTTTATGTCTTACTCTTGCTCTGATGAGGTTACGTCCGAGTTAGTATGGCATTTGCAAGTTTACCGGCATTGCTTGTCGGCCGTGTTATTAGTATTTTGTGTTACATCAACGGCGTAAGCCTATCATCGTCGATAATTTTGTTTTTGTTTTCTTTCCTCTGAAATAAGGATCATGGCAGCTGGGTAGTTTCAATTAACTATTTGATTGGGGGGGAATTTCGCCTCTTTGGTATTCTCGTGGTAATTGAAAAAATAATAATCAGACAATTGTTAATTCATTACCTTAATT